CCCCCCCCCCCCCCCCGAAAAAAAAAAAAAAAAGAAGTAAAAAACTGGAAGTCCCACCTACACCATAACCCTGTCCAACTCATCAGGAATGTTTACTGGGTGTCTTTCTAGGCCTAAGTCATTTAAGGAGTGACAAACAGAACTTTACTTGTTTTGTTTTAGTACTGGGGACTGATTCCAGGGGTGCTTTACTGCTCAGCTACATCCTGAGTCTCTTTTATTTTTTGAGAAAGAGTCTCACTAAATTGCTGAGGCTAGAATCAAACTTGAAATTCTCCTTAGCCTCCGGAATTATTGGGATTACAGACCTGCACTACCATTCCTGGCCAGTTTCACTTTTTTGCTTTCTCCACAATATGCCACAAAAATAATTCTATGGTACCAGGTATGGTGGCACATGCCTGTAATCACAGATTTGAGGCCAGGTTGGGCAACTTCGTGAGATCCTATCTCAAAATAAAAAGAACTGGGGGTATAGCTTAGTGGTAGAGCACTCCTGGTTCAATCTCCAGTATTGGGGAAAAAAAATTTTTAATGGGATCATGGGAATGCCCCTGCTAATCTGTATTCTACTTACATAGGTTAAGACCTATAATCGAGTATATATAACTAGATTTAAGGATGTGTTTTATCAGCAAGCAATTTGTCTCCATCTTAAAAATCAGAAACATAACACCTAACTAGGAAATCTGAAACTGTATCAACTTCTGATCCTTAAAGACACTCTAGTGCAACGACTTTCTCCATTTTTCACATCAAAGGAGGGGATTACTATCTATTTAAATAAATACAAAACACTCCACCTATAAATCTGATCAGTCTACTTTCTCTTCCAGTTGGAATAACTGGTCTAGCCAGCTAAGGCCATCTCTGCCTAAATGTAACTGCGACAAGGAAACTGGCAGTTGCTGTGAGAGCATGAGAGAGAAACAGAAGCTCCCTCTGCAGGTCTATGCTCAGCTTTAGCTCTGCAAACTCAGCACTCCTGAAGCCTCACTGAGAACTTTGAGTTTGTATACATACAGCCACCTTCCCTCAGCTATGCCCAGGAGCAGGAGCAGGTATATTTTTCACCAGTCACATACTACTCAGAAGGACTCCATCCCTTGATAATCTGGGCCTCATCATCCTCATCTACACAGACTAAGAACAGCTCTGAACATGGCTAGTATGAGTGTTTTCACACTGCTGTCAAAGAGCAGGAGACAGAAAAGGGTTGATAATAGAAACACAATGAAAAAATGGGAGACTGGAAAGGTGGACATTTAGGCAGAGGGACAATATCCAGAGTGAGAGCAGAAGTGGGTAAGGTCAGGAAGGGATCATGGGCCAGGAACCAGGGGCAGGTCCCAGCAGTCAGTGTTGCAGGGCAGGAGCCTCAAGTAGCCAAGGTGGGCTGGGTGTTTTGCTTTGGCAGCATCCAGAGCTGGCAGTAGGATGCAGTGGGGTGTAGAGACAGGAGGGTAGTAATAGGCCAATTAGCTACTTTCCCTTCATCCTAGAATGCCCAAGAGAATGCATGTGCAGGGAACAATGGCCTTCTGGGCTGGAGAGAAGCCGCTTTCTGACCTGTCACTGTGTAGTCAAGTCATTAACCCTGAAGGACAGACCAGCCCACAGTCAGGAGGTCCTGGCTCCAATACCCTCACAAGTGCCACACACACACAAAAAAGATCAACACTTAAGAATTATGAGCCTCCATGGAGGTGCATGCCTATAATCCCAACTACTTGGGAGGCTAAGGTAAGAGGATCACAAGTTTGATGCCAGCCTGGGCAACTTAATGAAGCCTTATCTCAAAATAAAAAATAAAATGGGCTGGGGATGTAGCTTAGAGGTAGAGCACTCCTGGATTCAATCCCGACTACCACAAAACAAAGGAACAAACAAAACAAGAATAATGGCGGGGGGCTGGGGATACAGCTCAGTTGGTAGAGTGCTTGCCTTGCATGCACAAGGCCTGGGTTCAATCCCCAGCACCATAAAACAAATAAATAATGGCAGGGGATGCAGCTCAGCAGCAAAGCACTTGCTTAGCATGCACAAAGCCCTGGGTTCTGTCCCTTGAACAATGAAAACCAAAACAAAAAATAAACAAGTAAAAATTAATAACTTGATAGTTAAATAAGGTAAACACATGTATTTGCATGTTAACATTTGTTTTAATTTGTATAAATAAAAGGGAATTTTCTACTTAAACAGTAATTCATCTGGGTCTTCTTGTATAATACAAAATTCTTCCATGGGAGTCTGATGATTTTGAGGCCAGCAACTCTTCTCACATGTGTAAACTAGAATTGTTCCAAATTCCACAGAAAGACCTGAAAAACACAACATATTCTGGATTCCAGCAAATATAACATTATGAGATGCACTCACAATGTCTAAGTATATTTAGTGGGCAGAGCACACACTCTGGAATAAGATGCCTGAATTCACACCCCAGTTCTATCACCTTGAGAATTATGATACTTCGCTGTGATAGACATATGTTCATCATGATAGTAAGATTTCATTATATATGAAATCCTTAGACCAGCCCGGCACATCTTAAGTTCTCACTGTAAACAAGAAGGTTAGGTAAGTAAGTAGAGATAACAGAAATGAAGGAGAAAGATGATTCAGTATCAGGATAACTGATGTTGCTAAAGCGAGTGATTTTACCTAACAAGCTGAAATATATAATTACATAAAGCAAAAACTGTGCTTATGGCTTTCAGCTACAATATGATTGCAGTGCATCATTATAATAAGTTGACACTGATGTCAAAAGGCAAATTTAATAAAAAGTAGCAGGAAAATAGACTCCAGATGCGACACAGACTCCAGATGCGACACAGACACTGGTAGAAAACGCCTACAGCTTGTCATGCCACTCAGCTTAGCCAGCCTTCTGCCAAATCCACGGAACCTTAGAGCAAATGAACAAGACTGGAGGCACAGGGATTCAAGGCATAGTCAGAAGCAGAGCTAACGCATTAAGAATCAATAAAAGGATAAAGGATTTAGTAAACATCTGAAAAAAAAGAAAATAAAAACAAGACTTATCTACAATTAAGGTAAAAAAGTGTAAGATCATTCTTGGAGAAACTGAACCAATTCCATGAGAAAAAAATCCCCAAATACAAACTTTTTAGGGCTCTTTTTTTTTTTTTTTTTTTAAAGAATGTAAGGCTCTGAGAGAGAGAGAGAGAGAGAGAATTATAATATTTATTTTTTTTTTTAGTTTTCGGCAGACACAACATCTTTGTTTGTATGTGGTGCCGAGGATCGAACCCGGGCCGCATGTATGCCAGGCGAGCGTGCTACCACTTGAGCCACATCCCCAGCCCTTTAGGGCTCTTTAATAAATATCCAATGAAGACACTGCCCAGTAAACAAATCCTACTCTTCCACACAAAACTTCCAGTTAGTGTGCTTTTGTATGTGTGTGTACACACTGGAGAATGGAACCCAGGATTTGGTGCATGTTAGGCAAGCACTGTAACCACTGAGCTATATTTTCGGCTCTTTTTATTTTTATATTTTAAGGTAGTGTAAGTTGCCCAGGCTGGCCTTGAATTTGCGATCTCCCTGTATCAGTCTCCTAAGTCACTTGGATTAAAGGCTTTCTATGCCTACTTGAACTTAAACAGGAACAACCTGTGGGAGACCAACCTTGCACATGACTGAGTCACACTCCTGGGCTAGGTACTGAGATACTCAGTCGCAGAAATGTGGCAGAGCTTTCCCCACCCTTCTTGGGTTTGAGGGATGGTGTCTCGTGCATGGGTGTGTCTTGCTACAGCCCCATGGGTGAAGCTATGCTCACCTGTTCCTTTATAATATAACCCCTTGCCCTGTTTAGAATAGAATCTTCCATGGAAGTGCCTTGTGTGTGTCCCCTTCTCTTACTGTGCCCCTAGGTGTGGCCTACCCAGATGTCAGTCAGATAGACTCAGCCCCCTGAAACCTGACCCCTTGCCTCATTTGAATAGCTTCTCAATAAAAGGGGTCAGCACATGCTCTCTCTCTCTTTCTGTGGACCCTTAAGGTCAGAGGAGCCATCACTAGTGATCCCAAAGAAAAAGGATTTGCGTTTTTTGTGTGGTTATTTTGCGCAGCCCAGTTAGCCCAGTTCAACTGGAGTAAACCCTGAGCCTTTTAGTCACGAGAACAGAAACCTGGCAACAACCAACCAAGCATCATCGGGCATTTACAGAAAAGCTCCAATAAAATTCAGTCACCAAAACAAGCACAGAAGAAACTAGCAAATTGGAGGAATCAGACAATGCAAGTAACAAAAGAAAACTCCAAAACAGAGAAAATGTTTCTTAGAGAGAGAGAGACTGAACAACAAACACAAAATGTCATTAAAAAAAATGTCAGAGAACAAGGAGGGGTTCTTGGAAAATATAGAAATGCCAGGTTCAACATTTACACGTTATGATTTCATTTATGTGAAGTTCAAGACCAGGCAAAATTCCTAGTGAACAGGCATGAGAAGAGTGAGGATTCTGAAGAGGAAGGGGCCTGCTGTCTGGGAAGGAGGCCCAGGGGCCTTCCTGGACACTGGCAACATTCTCCATCTTAATCTGGGGGAGTATATACATAAGAGTGAATGCATGTAAACATTCATCATGAAGGACACTTAAAATGGTATGGTGGTACACACCTGCCATCCCAACTACTCAGGAGGCTGAAGCAGGATAACTGTACACTCAAGCTCAGGCAACTTACTTAGTAAGACCTTGTCTCAAAATAAAAAGGATGTAGCTTAAAGGTAGAGTGCTTGCCTAGGGTGCACAAAGACCTGGCGTTTAACCCCTAACATCACCCCTCTCAAAAAGAAAAAAAAAAAAAAAAGAAAGAAAGAAAACAGAATTTCTACAACTCAACAATAACAAAAACAAATAACCTAACTAAAAGGGGCAATGGACTTGAAAAGACATTTCTCCAAGATGATACAAATAGAAATCACAAAGAGAGGCTAGGCACAGTGGCACATGTAACTCTAACAATGCTGAAGGCTCAAAGGCAGGAGGATCCGTATATTTAAGGTCAGCCTCAGCAATTTACTGTGACCTTGTCTCAAAATAAAAAATAAAAAGGGAGGTTAAGCTTCTTATTCTCAAGAGAGCCCACATTCTCCCTTGAATGTATATCTTCTTCCTAAATAAACCTCTTTAGGTATTTAAATAAATGTCTTTGTCTGGCACATGCTGAAATTCTTTTCTATTACATATGCCAAGAAGCCCGTTGGTCCCGAGTTGAACTCCCCCTTTCTCTTCTATTACATCTCATAGTGGCCCATATGGGGAACTTTGGAGACATCAACTTTGGTAGGACTACTTTCTTTTTGATTTGGCTACGACTTTTTCTGTTAGCATTCGCCTGTTTCCTTTACTTTCAGAGGCTAAAGAGCATAACCTCAATCTACCTCATTAGCCATGGCTCCCCTTCTTGGGCAGCTGGGAAATTCCCAAGCTGTGTAGATTCAAGTGGCAAAAAGGTGATTGTTAGCTGGGTGCGGTGACACACACCTGTAATCCCAGCAGCTCAGTAGGCCGAGGCAGGAGGATTTTGAGTTCAAAGCCAACTTCAGGGGCTAGGGATGTGGCTCAAGCGGTAGCGTGCTCGCCTGGCATGCATGCGGCTGAGGTTCGATCCTCAGCACCACATACAAACAAAGATGCTGCCCCCCCCCCCCATAACTAAATGATAAATATTAAAATTCTCTCTCTACCTCTCTCTCACTTAAAAAAAAAAAGCCAACTTCATCAATTTATGAGGTCCTAAGCAATTCAGTGAGACCCTGTCTCTAAATAAAATACAAAATAGGGCTGGGGATGTGGCTCAGTGGTTGAGTGCCCTGAGTTCAATCCCTGGGACCTGCCCTGGCAACTGCAACAAAAAAAAAAAAAAAAAAAAAAAAAAGGTGATTGCTGACGTTCTAGGGAGCTGGTAGAATTCTGAATAATTGTGAAGGAGCTCAATGATTAAAAATCCTTTCCTTCTTCTCTCATACTGCATTGCAAGACCACCTACAGGTTTCTCGACCTCTATGGGATTTAAACAGGTGATCTCTTTTTTCTGTTTTTCCATTCCTCCTTTCTCTTTTCCTTCCTGCTTTCCTTGGCCATAAGCTCTTTTCTCCCTTGGAAGATGAGTGTTTGTTGATAAAATGCCAAAAGTAGGACACACTCTTTGGCCAATATACCCCATTCCTGGATCAGAAAGAATTAAGTTTCTTATCCAGAAGACACATATGAGGGGTTAGTCTTCCAGTGTTTTCAGTACCCCTTTGTTTTACGAAATGTGGGGTTCACCAGAGACATTTTTGGAGGGACTAGGCCCTGACAAGATAATCAAAGAAATACCTCCATTAATCTCTACATTCAGACCTGATACACTTAGTGGACAATCTCCTAACTCTAATCTTTTGCCATAAATCTAAGTTCTGAGTACAACCTCTTGTCATGCCCTCCCTCCCTTCTCTAAACTCTCTCTATACAGTCTCATGTTACATGTTCCAGCTGAACTATTCTGCCCTACATAGTGAATGTCAGCTATAAATAAATCTGTATTAAAACTTTCTTTGTTCTATCCCAAAGTGCCTCAAAGCTCTCTATAAGGTTTTATTGTATACTTGCTATTTAAAATAATAATTTAAAAATTATAAATTCTTATGTGTTACCTAGATTACTTGAGATTTAGGGATTTTTTTTTAAATTATTTTTTTTTTTAGTTTTCGGTGGACACAACATCTTTTTATTTTATTTTTATGTAGTGCTGAGGATCGAACCCAGCGCCCCGTGCATGCCAGGCGAGCGCACTACCGCTCGAGCCACATCCCCAGCCCTTAGGGATTTTTTTTAAGGATTTTTTTTTCCTTCTTCTTCTTCATAAGAGATTTGTTTTCATGAGGGGCCTATCAAGCACCCTGAGGACCACATAACAAGGACAAGGATGCTTGCACCGCCAATAATTTTCAGACAGACATACAGGTCAGATCTTGTTTGGGACAAAGGATACTCTGAAGATACAATATGGGATAGATTCCTGGCCGGGCATGGCAGAGTATGCCTATAATCCCAGTGGCTTGGGAGGCTGAGGCAGGAAAATACCTAGTTCAAAACCAGCCTCAGCAACTTAGCAAGATCCTGTCTTAAAAAAAGAAAAAAAAAATTTAAAAAGGGCTGGGGATGTGGTTAAGGGCCCCTGGGTTCAATCCCTGGTACCAAAAAAAAAAAAAAAAAAGAGTCCAGTCTTGGTTAGGGATTCAAAGAATAGCCTCAGGCCTGTTTTTGTATTGTTTTTTCTTTTCAGAAAACCACTGAAGATTATGGGTAATTCAATGTATATCCCCGAGAATTTACCCCTTACATTTAAAATAATTGGAATTTAAAGTTTTGGTGCTGGGGATTGAACCCAGGGGCCCTTTATCATTGAGCTATATCCCAAGCCCTTTTTAATTTTTTTTTTTTTTTAAGAGAGAGAGAGAGAGAGAGGGACAGAGAGAGAGAGAATTTTTTAACATTTATTTATTTTTTCTTAGTTCTCGGCGGACACAACATCTTTGTTTGTATGTGGTGCTGAGGATCGAACCCGGGCCGCACACACGCTAGGCGAGCGCGCTACCGCTTGAGCCACATCCCCAGCCCAGCCCTTTTTAATTTTTGAGACAGGGTCTTGCTAAATTGCTTAGGGCCTTACTAAATTGTTGAAATTGACTTTGAACTTACAATCCTCCTGCCTCAGCCTACTGAGGATTAGATTAGAGGATTAGAGGCATGTGTCACCATGCCTGGCAATAACTGGAATTATTTTAAGTCAGAAGATTTTTAAAAGAAAAAAAGGAAGAAATTTTTTTTTCCTGTAATATGGCTTGGTCCCAATATAAATTAGAGAATGGAGACTTATTCTGTAAATGGGAAAAGAATGGACAGAGATCTGACTATCTGTATTTTACCCCCTGCTGTCTTTTTTTTTTTTTTTTTTTGATACCAGGGATTGAACCCAGGGGCACTAAATCACTGAGCCACATCCCCAGCACACCCCCACCCTCCTTTTTTTTTGGTACCAAAAATTTAGGGGCACTCAATCAGTAAGCCACATCTCCAGCCCTATTTTGCATTTCATTTAGAGACAGGGTCTCACTGAATTGGTAGCATCTTGCTTTTGCTGAGTCTGGCTTTGAATTCATGATCCTCCTGCCCCAGGCTCCCAAGCTGTTGGGATTACAGGTGTATGCACCCAAGCCTGGCTCCACTGCCTAGTTTTGCCACATGCTCCTGCCATGATGTGCTATCCTCACAACAAGCTCAAAGCAATGGAACTACTTGATAGTAGACTGTAACCTTCAGAAATGAAAGCCAAAATAAACTTCTTACAGTTTTGTCTTTTTTTTTTTTTTTTTTTTTTTTAAGTACTAGGATTAAACCCACATGCTAGGCAAGCATTCTATCAGTAAGCTACATCCCCAGTCCTTTTTATTTTATTTTGAGACAGGGTCTTGCTAAATTTCCAAGGGTAGACTTGAACTTATGATCCTCCTATCTCAGCCTGTCTTGTAGCTGGGAATACAAGTGTGTGCCACCACACCTGGCTATCTTAAGTTAATTTCCTCAGATATTTTGTAATAGTAATGTGAAGCTGACTAAGTTAATGTACTTTTATTATAAAAAAACTTCACATTTTTCTTTAAAATTTTCAAAAGAAAAACTAATGATTACAAAATATTACTACACTTGATCTTAGCCAAAAGGCCGAGAAGCGATACAAAATATTAATTATAATCATTTAGAGGGCAATTTATTTTTTATTCATTTATACTTTTTTCCCATTGTTTCTGAGACAAAAACTATGTTGCCCAGGCTAAGCCTCAAGCAATTCTCCTATGTCATTGTTTCAAGTAGGTAGGACCTCGGGCATAGGCCTATGCACCCAATAAGACAAATGTTTGTATTTATTTTTGTGGTGATGGGGATCAAACCCAAGGCTTTATGCATGCAAGGCAAGCACTCTACCAACTGAGCTATGTCCCCGGAAACAAATGTTTTTAAATGATTATAAATTTTGATTGTATAATAAGGTGATGAAAATAATATTAAGGGTAGAAATGCTCAGCCTTTAATCACCGAAAATGGTTGTTAGTAGTTGTGTTAGATTGGTTAGATTATACTTTTTTTTTTCTTTCTTTTTGGTGATGCTGGGGATTGAACCCAGGGACACCCTACCACTGAGCTATGTCCCCATCCCTTTTTATTTATATTTTTACTCTTGAGATAGGGTCTCACTAAATTGCCCGGGCAAAGCCTTGAACTTGAGATTTTCCTGCCTCTGACTTTAGTCACTGGGATTATAGGTATATGCCACTACACTCAGCATGTTATATTATAAATTTCCTAAAGCAATTTTTATTTCCCAAATTTTCTACAAAATACTATATTTTATAATTAAACAAAAACATGGCCTATCATTTTAGTATAATACCAAGATAATCCAAGAATTGCACAAACTCAGATTAATAAAGCTTACCTAAATTAGCACTTTGAAGCATGCTGATCAGTGCTGGCATAAGCTGAAATTCAAATATTCTTTGTCCTCCACAGTGGCTACAGGCTGGGATATCAGTGATTTCTGACGTAGGGCAGGTCAAAAAGAGTGGCTCTCCACTCCAGGAATACCTACAATAAAGAACCTGAAGTCAGAGGCACATACATACAAATCATACCCCAATATCTGAGGTCACTCTTTGCACACTTCCTTTCTTAGAAATTTCCAGAGGGCTGGGGATGTGGCTCAAGCGGTAGCGTGCTCGCCTGGCATGCGTGTGGACCGGGTTGGATCCTCAGCACCACATACAAACAAAGATGTTGTGTCCGCCGAAAACTAAAAATAAATATTAAAAATTCTATCGCTCTCTCTCCTTCTCTCTCTCTCACTCTCTCTTTAAAAAAAAAAAAAAAAGAAAGAAAGTACCAGGAGCAAAACAAAAGACCAAAGAAATCCTCCAGAGGAAAAAAAAAAAACAAAAAACACCAGCAGCAGCAAGTCTATAAAGCACAGCAAGACATCTGAAGTCTGGCCAATGCTGAACTGAGTCCAACAATGGCTGCAATGAAATACAGACCAGACCAACTACAGAGTAAAGGGACTCAAACCTCCCTTATAGCAAAGGGGCATGGCTTTCTAGGAGTACATACTTAGTATCTACTGTTCTCCAACAAATAATTTCTTTTTTTCTTAAATATTTTTTTAGTTGTAAATGGACACAATACCTATATTTTATTTGTTTATTTTTATGTGGTGCCAGGGATTGAAAACAGCGCCTCACGCATGTTAGGCAAGCACTCTAACATCGAGCCACAACCCCGGCCCCTCCAACATATAATTTCTTTTTTTTTTTTTTTACATCTTTATTTTATTTATTTATTTTTTTATGTGGTGCTGAGGCTCAAACCCAGGGCCCCCACACATGCAAGGTGAGCATTCTACCACTGATCTATATAACCCCAGCCCCCCAACATATAATTTCTAACAAATAAAAAAGTTACTAGATAGGTAAAGAAACAGGTAAATTTAACCCATGAAGAAAGTCAATACCAGAAAACCCACAGACAAGATGATGGTTGTATTAAACAGGGTCTTTATAATACCAGCGACAAGGGCTGGGGCTGTAGCTCGGTGGTAGAGTGCCCGCATGTGTGAGACACTGGGTTCAATCCTCAGCACCACATAAAAATAAATAAAGATTAAAAAAAAATACCAGCAACAAATATGTAAAAGAATGTAGTGAAAAAGGTAAACAAGAATGAATGGATGAGTAATTCAGCACAGAAATGGAAATTAAAAGAGACTGAAATAGAAACACTACAAATGCAAAATGCTGTGTGTCAGAAAAAAAGAACTAAGCTAGGTGTGGTGGTGTGCACTTGTAATCACAGCTACTTCGGAGGCTGAAGCAAAAGGGATCACTTGAGCTTAGACCCTCTAGAGCAGCCTGGGCAACAGAGATAGAGAAACAAAAAACTTCATTCATTAAAATGTAACAATAGATGCTGGGGCTGTAGCTCAGTGGCAGAGCACTTGCCTAGCACTGGGTTCCATCCTCAGCACCACATAAAATAAAGCCATTCCATGCATCTACAACTAAAAAAAAAAAAAAAAAAAAAAAAAGAGAGAGAAAAAAAAAAGTAACAATAGATTGGACAAAATAAAAACATGAAGTTTTAGAAAAAGCAAATATAAATTATTCCAATTGGAACTAAAAGTTAAACCCCAAAAAGAGAACTTTGAAAGTCTATAGTATGGGGCTGGGGATGTGGCTCAAGGGGTAGCACGCTCGCCTGGCATGCGTGTGGCCCGGGTTCGATCCTCAGCACCACATACAAACAAAGATGTTGTGTCTGCCGAGAACTGAAAAATAAATATTAAAAAAAAAAAATTCTCTCTTAAAAAAAAAAAAAAAAAAAAGAAAGAAAGAAAAAAAACAGAAAGTCTATAGTATAATTTTTCTTTTCTTCTTCTTTGTTTCATTGTATCAAACCCAGAGCCTCCGAGCATGCTAGGCAAGTGCTCTACCCTCTACCACTGAGCTACATCTTTAGCCTCTATGGTACAATTTCAAATAATTGAACATACAGATAATTGGAGAACTAGAAAAAACAGAATAGAAGAAATATTTCAAATAGAAGTAATAGTCAAAAGTTTCAACCCATAATTCCAGAAAGCTCTTGAAAAGCAAAGCAGGAAAAATTAAGCCATAAACACACAAAGAAAAATTTCTAAAAAAAGGGAAGAAGACGATGACAACATATTACAAGTAAAAGAATAATAAGAATTATAGAGTTGGGGTTGTAGCTCAGTGGTAGAGTACTTGCCTAGCACATGTGAAGTACTGAGTTCCATCCTTAAATCCATAAATAAATAAATAAATGTATTGTGTCCATCTCCTACAACAACAACAAAAAAGTATAACTTTTTTTTTTTTTTTTTTTTTGGTGGTATCAAACACAGGGCCTTATTCAACAATGCTAGGCAAGTACTTTACCACTGAGCTACATATGTCTCTTTAACTGCAGCTAATTTCTAACAGAAATGACAAAGGCAAGAAAACAATGGAACAGCTGGGCACAGTTGTGCACACCTATAGTCCCAGCTATTCAGGAGGCTGTGAGGCAGGAAAATCACAAATTGAAGGCCATCCATGGTAACTTCATGAAATCATCTCAAAATAAAGAAATAAAAAGGATAGGGACATAGCTCAGTAGTACAGTGCCCCGGAGTTCAATCACCAATACGAAAATAAATATAGACAAGACAGCTAGGCTGGTCATAAAACTCAGGTAAAGTGCCATGGGTTCAATCCCTACTATGGCAAATTAAAAAAAAAAAAAAGAAAAAGAAAGAAAGAAAGAAAACAAAAGCTAGAAAAAGGGATTTTGAATGTTTTTCACCATAAAGATGTAATAAATGTTTAGGATAAATGTATTATTTATTCTGATTTAAACATTACACATTGTACACATGAATTGAAATATCACATGGCACTCCATCACTACACAGAATTTTCATGTATCTATTTTAAGTGTAAAAATTTAGATCTGTTTAAAATAAACAATAAATACATTTTTACATAGACAAAACCTGAGAAACTCTCTCCAACAAACGTATTAAAAGTTCTTCATACTGAAGGGAAATATCAGATAGAAACAGATCTGCATGAAAGAATGTGGAATACCAAAAAGGTGAATAGGTGAATAAATATGAAAGGATCCCCCCACACACACGCTTTTTTTTTTTTTTTGCAAGTGCTAGGGATGGAACCTAGGTCCCAGTTACATGCTAGGCAAAAAAAGCACTCTACCAGTGAGCTACACCCCTAGCTCATAAGAACTTTTTTTTTTTTTTTTTTTTTTCAGTATCAGGGATGAGCCATATCCCTAATCCTTTTTTAAAAAAAAATTTTATTTTTGGTACCAGGGGTTGAACTCAGGGGCACTCAACCACTGAGCCACATCCTCGGCCTTATTTTTATTTTATTTAGAGATAAGGTCTCGAATCAAACCGTGTAATATGATGTATTAAGAACTATGTAATGTTATGAGCGACCAATAAAAAAAAAAAAAAAATAGAGATAAGGTCTCACTGAGTTGCTTAGGGCTTACATTGCTGAGGCTGGCTTTGATCTCTCAATCCTCCTTTCTCAGCCTCCCTAGCCGCTGGGATTACAGGCATGTGCCACCGTGCCTGGCTACTTTTTAATTTTGAGACAGGGTCTTGCTAAATTGCTTAGGGCCTCATAAGTTGCGAAGGCTGGCTGTGAATTTGTGATCCCCTGCCTCAGTCTCCCGAGTCACTGGGATTATAGGTGTGCATCACCATTTCCGGCATAAAAGAACTTCTGATAGATATTTTGCTTTATATTTATTTTCCTTACAGACTATTGATGATTTCAAGCAAAAAAATCCCTATATATATATATCCACACCCCCCCAAAACACATATTTACGTGTGTATATATATATACATACACATATATATTATACATATATCATGGGGTTTATAGCATATATAGAAGCAAAATTCATAAAAACAAGATCATAAGTGCAGGGGAATGAGAAATGGGAATCTATGCTGTGGTTCTTAGAACTACAATAAGTAATATTGCACAATATACTCATTAAGGCAAACACTAAAAACTTATATAGTTATATAACACTTATATAGTTATAAATTAAAGTGAAGAAAGGAGATAAAGCACTGGGGATTTTGCTCAATGGTAGAGCACTTGCCTAGCATGTGAGAAACCCTAGTTTTAAGACTTAATACTAAAAATAAAAACAAAACAAACAAAAAACAAAACAAAAAGAGAGAGAGAAAGAAAATAAAATGGTAAACTAAAAATACTCAGTTTAATAATTACCTTAAGTAATTAAATGAACTAACATTCCAAATAACAGACACACTATCAGTCTGGATTTTTTTTTAAAAAAAGCAGGACCCAAACATTTAAGTTGTTTAAGAATCACATTTTATATTTAGAGTAGGAAATAGATTAAATGTAAAAGTGTAGTTAGGGGCTGAGGGCATAACTCAGTAGTTGGGTGCTTGCTAAATATTTATAAGGCCCTGAATTCAATCCCCAACACACACACACACACACACACACACACACACACACACAAAGTAGATAAAGATGAATCAAAGACTAAACAACAGAAATCTAATTTGGCTATATTAGTATTAGGGAAGATTCACTCAATAGGAAGAAGTATAAGACATAATAGGAACATTATAATTGTAAGAGGATCATCTCATTAGATAAATATAGCAATCCTAAATATGCACACACCTTAAATGGCATCAAAATTCTGAGGCAGCTGGCACACACCTGTAATCCTAGCAGCTAGGGAGGCTGAGGCAGGAGAATTATGAGTTGAAAGCCAGCTCAGCAACTTAACGAGGCCCTAAGCAACTTAGTGAGACCCTGTCTCTAAATAAAATATAAAAAAGGGGCTGGGGATATGGTTCAGTGGTTTAGTACCCCTGGGTTCAATTCCTGGTACCCCCCCCCCAAAAAAAAAACTCATGAGGCAAAATAAAGAAAAATAAAATTATGTCATTTGTAGGAAAATGTATGGAACAAGAGACCATCATGTTAAGCAAAATAAGTTAAACTCAGAAGGTTAAGAGTCATATGTTTTCTCAGGGCTGGATTAATAGCTCAGTGGTAGAGTGCTTGTCTAGCACATGTGAGGCACTCAGTCGAACCTCAGCACCACATAAAAACAAATAAATGAAATAAAAGTGTCCGTCTACAACTAAAAAAAAAGTCATGTTTTCTCTCATAAGCAAAAACTAGAGAGGAAAATGGAAAATAAAAGTGGGGGCATGGATTTTATGAAAATCAGAGGGAGATCAGTAGAGGAAAGGGACCAAAGGGTGAGAAATCAAGAAGGGGGGGTAGAAGTGCTGGGGAGTGGTATTGGCTAAAGTATATTGTTATGTTGTGTGCATCTATTAATATTTAACAAATCCCATAATTATATACAACTTTAATGCACCAATAAAAAAAGTGGAAAAAATTCATGAGGCAAAAATTGACATAATTAAAAGTAAAAAAGATATATTCACAGTTATAGTACGCTTTTTTTTTTTTTTTTTGGTACCAGAGATTGAACCCAAGGACGCTTAATCACTGAACCACATCCCCATCACTTTTATTATTTTATTTATTTATTTATTATTTTTTTTTAATATTTATTTTTCAGTTTTCGGCGGACACAACATCTTTGTATGTGGTGCTGAGGATGGAACCCGGGCCGCACGAATGCCAGGCGAGCGCGCTACCGCTTGAGCCACATCCCCAGCCCTTATTATTTTATTTTGAGACAGGGTTTCATTAAGTTACCAAGTGCCTTGCTAAATTGATAAGGCTGCTTTGAAGTTGCAATTTTCCTGCTTCAGCCTTCTTAGCTGTTGGGATTACAGGCATGTGCCACTGTGCCAGCTAGATTAGATCAAAATTTAAATCTTCTCTTTAAAAGTGAATGTTACTGAGCTGGGCACTGTTGAGCAAGCCTGTAAACCCAGCAACTAGGGAGGCGGAGGAAGATGGATCTCAAGTTCAGGGACAGCCTGTGCAGTCCTTGAACTTGAGATCATCTCAAATAAAAAATAAAAAGGACAGAAGATGTATTCAGTGGTAAAATGGACCTGGATTCAATCCCCAGTACCAAAAAGGAAAAAAAGACAGTCTTAATGGGCTGGGAATGTAGTTAAGTGGTAGAGCACTGCCTAGTGTGCACGAGGCCCTAGTTGGACCCCCATTACAGAAAGGAAAAGAAAAAAAAAAAAAGACAGTATTACCATAATGAAAACCCAATCTGGGTGTGGTGGCCCATACCTGTAATCCCATCGACTACAGAGGCAAAGGCAGGAGGATTTCAAATTCGGAGCCAACCTCCTCAGCAACTTAGTGAGACTCTAAGCAGTTTAGCAAGACCCAGTCTCAAAAAAATTAAAAAAAAAAAAAAAAGCTAGGGTGTAGCTCAGTTCAGTTGTAAAGTGCCCAATTAAATGTCTAGTACAAAAAATAAAAAAAACAACAGACAAGAAGAAAATATGCAAAACACACATAGCTGAAAAAGGACCTGTATACTGACAATATTAAGAATTTGTAGAATTCAATAAAAAGATAAATAATCCAATAAAAATACTGCAAAGAATTTGAATGATGACAGGTGTGGTGGCTCACACCTTGTAATCCCAGGTGCTCAGGAGGCCGAGACAGGAGGGTTGAAGTCTGACACCAGCCTGGGCAACTGAGCAAGACAATCTTTAAAAAAAAAAAAAAAAAAAAAAAAAAAAAAAAAAAAAAAATTGAACTGACACTTTTCCAAAGATGATATTCACATATGAAAAATAAGTACTTGAAAAGATACCATCTTCTGGCAAATGGGAAAATGCAAACTAAAATCACAACGAGGGGCTGGGGCTGTAGCTCAGTGGCAGAGTGCTTGCCTAGTACGTGTAAGGCACTAGGTTCAATCCTCAGCACAACATAAAAAAAATAAAATAAAATAAAGGCATTCTATCCATTTACAACTACAAAAATAATTTTTTTAAATCATAATGAAATATTACTATACTCTTCGACTGGCTAAATTTAAAAACAGAACATACCAAGTACTAGCAAAGATGTGCAGGATCTAGAATTCTTATACACTGGTGTGGGAATGTAAATGGTATAAACACCAGGTGGGGTAGTGGACACCTGTCATCCCAGTGGCTGAGGCAGGAGGATTCCAAATTTGAGATCAGCCTTAGCAATTTAGTGAGACTTTAAGCAACTTACCCTGTCTCAAAATAAAATAGAACTTAAGAAAGAAAAAGAAAGGGCTGGGGATGTGACTTGGTAGTTAAGAGGCCCTGGGTTCAATCCCTACTACTGCGGGAAAAGAAAAAGGTCAAATAAGTAAATAAATGGTATAACAAGCATTGATTATTTTATTAAATAAAATAGGCTGGGGGAAAACTGTTTGGCTCTTGCTTAAAAAGTTAAATATGGGCTGGGCTGGGGTTGTGACTCAGTGGTAGAGAGTTTGCCTAGCATGTGTGAGGCACGGGGTTTGATTCTTGGCACCACATGTAAATAAATAAATAAAAATAAAGATCCTCAATAACTAAAAAATAAATAAATAAAATAAATAAATAAAGATGTTAAATATACCTATACTACATGATACAAATGTTGTAATCCTACATACACTATAAAAAAATCTGGATACAGAATATGTCTAGAATGATTTTTGTGCGTGTGTAAAAAAAAGGGTGGTAGTAATATGTAATCATATTTGCTTATACATGTAAAAAGAAACTCTGGAAATGACACACAAGAAACAATAACGGGCTGGGCATGGTGGCACACACCGGTAATCCCAGATGCTTGGGAGGCTGAGACAGGAGAACTGCAAGTTCAAAGCCAGCCTTGGCAATGGTGAGGGGCTAAGTAACTAAGTGAGACTTTGTCTCTAAATAAAATACAAAATAGGGCTGAGGATGTGGCTCAGTGGTCAAGTGCCCTGAATTCAATCCCCGGTACCAGAAAAAAAAAAAAAAAGGAAAGAAAAGAAACAATAATGGTTATCTGAGCAAGTTGGGGATGGCGAGAAAGAAATTTCTTTATTGTTTTTACATATTTATGCTATTATTACTATTGTTTTGCAGATAATGGGAATTGAACCCAGGGCCTTGAACATGCTAGGCAAGTGCTCCACTACCAAGCCATTTTTTTTTTTTTTTTTTTTTGAGAGAGAGAGAGAGAGAGAGAGAGAGAGAGAGAGAGAGAGAAGAGAGAGAGAGAGAGAAAGAGAATTTTATAACATTTATTTTTCAGTTTTCAGTGGACACAACATCTTTATTTGTTTTTATGTGGTGCTGAGGATCGAACCCAGTGCCCCGCGCATGCCAGGTGAGCATGTTACCGCTTGAGCCACATCCCCAGCCCCACCAAGCCATTTAAAAAAAAAAAATCATTTATTAATTCTAACTTGTTAAATATGACAGAATGCATTTCAATTCATAGTACACATAGAGAACACAATTTTTCATGTCTCTGGTTGTATACAAAGTAGAGTCACACCATTCATTTCTTCATACATGTATTTGAGATAATGATGTCCATCTCATTCCACCATCTTTCCTATTCCCCTCCCCCTCACTTCCCCTTCCCTCTCCTTTGTCCTATCTAAATTTCCTCCAATCCTCTCATACTCCCCTGCCATACCCATTATGGATCAGCATCCTCATATCAGAGAAAACATTCGCCATTTGGTTTTTTGGGATTGGCTTACTTCACTTAGCATAATATTCTCCAACTCCATCCATTTACCTGAAAATGCCATGATTTAATCTCTTTTAATGCTAAACAATATTCCATTGTGGATATATACCACAGTTTCTTTATCCATTCATCTACTGAAGGGCATCTATGTTGGTTCCACAGTTTAGCTACTGTGAATTGTACTGCTATAAACACTGATGTGGCTGTGCGGAGCCATTTTTTTTAATCCACTGTTTTAATTGACTAATATATTTGTGATACTGGGGATTGAACCCAGGTATTTTAACACTGAGTTACAACTCCCAGCCTATTTTATTTTTTACTGTGAAAAAATGTCTTACTAAATTGCTAAGGCTGGCCTTGAACTTGAGATCATAAGGGCTGAGAATGTGGCTTTAGAGTACTCTTTTTTTTTTTTTTTTAAGAGGGAGAGACTTTTTTTAATATTTATTTTTTAGTTTTTGGCGGACACAACATCTTTATTTTATTTTTATGTGGTGCTGAGGATCAAACCCAGCGCCCCACGCATGCCAGGGGAGCACTTTACCGCTTGAGCCACATCCCCAGCCCTAGAGTACTCTTGAATTCAACCCCCAATACTGCAAAAAAGGAAGGAAGGAATGAAGGAAGAAGGGACAAGTAAATTAAAGAAAATGTGTTTCCTTTACCTCAAAATCTGCTCCTGACAAGCAGCAATTCTCTTCATGAATTTGTAAAACATTTGATCTCCGCTTTTAATTTTGGTCTTCTCATATTTTTCATTACCATCACTAAAAAAACTAAAAAGAGAAGCAGAAACCACCTTTGAGTGTGAATATTCAGAGTATTACAGGATTTAAAAGAGAAAACAAGATAATCCTCTTAAAAAATTGCTGCAGTACACTATAATTTCAGTCTGTTGGAGCGGAGGCAGGAGGATCATAAGTCAGCTCAGGTAACTTGGCAAGACCCCGTCTCAAAAACAAAAACCTGGTGAATGAAGCTCATTGGTAAGGCACCCTTGGGTCCAATCCCCAATACTCTTCTACCCAAGAAATAAAATAAAAGGGATCTGCAGATGTAGCTCGGAGATGGAAAATCCTCCTGGGTTTACTCTTCAGTATGGTTTAAAAATTTTTTATCAGGGGCTGGAGATACAGTTAGCTCAGTGATGGGGCTATGCTCAGCATGCACAAATCCTGAGTTCAATCAGCAAAAAAGAAAAAGTATATACATACATAAAATTTAAATATTAAAAATATTTAAAGCCAGGAATGGTGACACATGCCTATAATCCCAGCCACTCAGAAGACTGAAGCAGGAGGATCACAAATTAGTGAGGTCCTCAGCAATTTAGTGAGAATTTTTTTCAAAATAAAAAGGCCTGGGGACATACCTCAGTATTAAACTACCCCTGGGTTTAATCCTCAGTACCCCTCCCGCCAAAAAAAGTAGCTCATTACAGAGCGTCCCTGGGTTCAACCCCCAGAATCAGCTTATAATATACATATGTAGCCTACTGGCTCACCATTCTCCCAAGCCATTTTCTTTTTTCTTTTTTTAAGAGAGAGAGAGAGAGAGAGAGAATTTTTAATATTTATTTTTTAATTCTTGGTGGACACAACATCTTTGTTGGTATGTGGTGCTGAGGATCGAACCCGGGCCGCACGCATGCCAGGCGAGCGCGCTACCGCTTGAGCCACATCCCCAGCCCCTCCCAAGCCATTTTCAACTTTGGGGTAATCATTTAAAAAGTCCATAAGTAAAACAGACTTGGCAAAGAACTAGGTCAACTCTAAAATATCCCACTTTATATTATTACAATAGCAAAAATGATCCTCCTGCCTCAGCTTCCCAAGTTGCTGGAATTATAGGTGTGCACCACTGCATCTAGCTATTAAAAAAAAAAAAAAAAGGCTTGCCTTTGCTATGAAAAACATTTAAAAAGCCCAACATAGTGGCATAAACCTGTAATCCCAGAGGATGTGGAAGCTAAGGCAGGAGGATCCCAAGTTCAAAGTCAGCCTCAGCAACTTAGTGAGCCCTAAGCAACTTAGCAAGACTCTGTCTCTAAATAAAATACAAAAAGCGCTGGGGATGTTGCTGAGTGGTTAAGCACTTCTGTATTCAATCCCTGGTACCAAAAAAAAATTTTTTTTAAAACAGAAAGGGTGCTGGGGATGTAGTTCAGTGGTAGAGCACTTGCCTAATATGCATGAAGCCCTGGATTTGATCTTCAATACCACAAAAAAGGAAGGGGTAAGATAACACAGGGAAAAAAAAAAAAGTTAAAGAAATAGTAAATGCATCTTCTGAAAACACCTGGCACCTCTAACTTCTGTCTGTTCATCTTGGTTCATTTTCTTTTTTTGGCAGGAGAGGAAGGTACTGGGGATTGAACCCAGGGGTGTTTCAACACTAAGCTACATCCCCAGTGCTTATTACTTTTTATTTTAATATTTTTTTTAAATATTTATTTTTTAGTTCTTGGCGGACACAACATCTTTGTTGGTATGTGGTGCTGAGGGTCGAACCCGGGCCGCACGAATGCCAGGCGAGCGCGCTACCGCTTGAGCCACATCCCCAGCCCCTATTTTAATATTTTTTAGTTGTAGATGAACACAATAATTTTTTTTTTTTAATGTGGGGCTGAGGATCAAACCGAGTGCTTCACATGTGTGACACAAGCATTCTATCACTGAGTCACAACCCCAGTCCCTTTTTACTCTTTGAGTCTAGATCTTGCTTAATTGCTGAGGCTGGCCTGGAACTCACAATCTTCCTACATCAGGCTCCCGAGTTGATGGGATTCCAGGCATATGCTACCATGCCCAGTCACCCTGGTTCATTTTCTTGAGGGCACTTATAAATAGACCAAAGTAACTGCTGGGTATGGTGGCGCATGCATATAATCCCGGTGACTCGGGAAGCTGAGATAGGAGGATTGCAAGTTTGAGGCCAGCCTCATCAATGTAGTAAGGCTCTAAGCAAATTAGCAAGACCCTGTCTCAAAATAGAAAGGGCTGGGATGTAGCTCAGTGGTAGAGCACTCCTAGTTTCACTCCAAGTATCCCCCCAAATATTATAATAATAAGTTATAAAAGCTGTTCTTAAAAATGCTAAAGCAAGTAACTTTTTCTTCCTTATTTTTTCTTCCTCTGAGTTTTATAATGAATCTCATGTGTATATAAGCAATAAATGTAAAGAACAGTTAATAAATAAATAAACAGACCAAAGTATCTTCAAGCTAACTCAAGCTGGCTGATGAGGAGGTACCCTCTGTTTGTGTATCCTTTTCTTACTCAAGACTGAAGCAGAAAGATCCTACCACAAAAGTTCTGCCTGGAAAAGTTCCCCCAGGTACTGGGGCGAAACCAATAGCACCTACTGTGGCAGCTTCCAGGCCAAGTCACCTCTCAACTTCAGCAGCACGCAGTCTCACCTTTGGGAAAGCAACTGTTCCATGCCAATTCCTTCTCTCTGTTGATAGTCCCTCAGAAGGCTGTGGGCATGATCTAGACTGACCAAGTCTCTGTAATCATCCTCATCTACAACACAGATGTAGTAGGGCAGGAACTGTGGCACTATAGTAGGCAAGGCCATCCCTTCTGCTGGAGGTACAGAATGAGTGGCATCCAGGACAGTGTCCTGCAGGCGCAGGTCTTGGAGCTGGGCAGTGCAGTCTACATCTTTGGCAGAGTTAGACTCATGAACAAAATCCAAGGTAAGCTGTGGTGGAGGTGCCTCCTCACTGTCACTTCCCCAGTCATTTGCACCTTCACACCAGTTCTCAGCGACAAGGCCATTTTCTTGTTTCTGGAAGAATATCTGGCAAATAAGGTCCAATCACACTTAGGATTCTATTCCTTTGGCTTCAGCAACCCATCCCTTCAATTTCCTGAAGAAGCCTTCACCAGTCCCTCCAATTCATCTCCCCGAACTCCATCTACTACTTAATAGCATTGGTCAGAGGTGACTTAAATATCAGTATTAAGTATATACTTTTCCGGTGGCAGAGTGTCAGATACAGCAAATGGTTTCTTCAACCATCTATTCCAAAATCTTTTTTGTTGTGCTTCATACATTGCTAGATTGAAAGGAAAGAAGTTCAGTTCTCAGACTCCTTAGCAGCTACAATTTCAGATATAATGAGAGGTATGCTTATGGGGCCCACCAGAGAGAGACATAAACTTGAGATAGAGTGTGGTAAAAATACCAAGAAACAAAAGGAAGTCAGTCTGTAAACATAGGTAGAACAAGACTGGAAAGCCAACAATTCTGTGACAAGGATGGCATACAGTTCACCAGATCACACCTAAGCTTCTGAACTGCAGGAGAGGTAGCCTGACAGATGGGCCAATGGAGATAGGGGTTCAGGAGGTCATTCCTGAAATCGCCTCCTCCAGTGTATGTAATTTGTAAATATATAAATTCCGGTGTGAAGTCTGTTTGAACTAACAAGAGTTTTCTCCCCCTCCCCCGCCCCAGTACTAGGGACTGAACCCAGGAGGACTATTGCTACATCTCCAGTTCTTTTTATTTATTCCGAGATACGGTCTCACTAAGTTGCCCAGGATGGCCTTGAACTTGGGGTCTTCTTGTCTCAGTCTCCTAAATAAATGGGTTTCCAGGCGTGCGCCACAACACCTGGACCATTTTATGGTTCTGAAGGAGCAAAACCAATTTCATTGTACCACAAAGAACACAGCTTAAAAGTTGGTTTTAAAAGATATTTTGGGAAATACCTCATATTACAGCAAAACATAATGTCAATCACAATTGCGTTACCTGTGCCTCTTTCTCGTGCACCTGCAGGCACTGGGAGCGGAACACCTTCCAACTTCAGGGTAAAAACAAAACAATGAGGGCTCCACCCCGGACTCCCATCCCGCTAACCCGCCCCAAGCCCACGGCGTTCCCCCCACCCCGCCCCAAGTCCCCCGCGTTCGCCCTACACACCCCGCCCCAACTCCGCCCACTCGGCGTGACACCCAGCCTACCTGCGCGCCCCGCTGTCGCCGCACTTGGGGCGCACGCAAGAGAACACGTGCAGTAGCCGATGGAATGGGGAGCCTTCCAAGGGGCAGTACACCTGCACGACCAGAGTTTGTGGCTCCTTGCAGCGTTCACACACAGGCCTCGGCGCGGCCACGGCAGGCAGGGCATCCTAAGGAAGGGGGAAGCGCTCAGACCCCGACTCTGTCCCCGAACCTCTCCGCTGCCTCACTGCGTACGTATTCCTCGCCTGCACCCGCCCACCCCACCTGCGCTCGCCCTCACCGGCATGCCACCCAGCTTGCTAGCAGTCCAGGCACTTGGCCCGGTAGGGCTGCCTTGCACTGCCAGGTCTCTAAGCCCGAGCAGCACCGGCTTCCGAACAGCCGCCATGACAACCTAGTTCGCACGTGAAAAGACGGAGTACGGCAGCTGAGAAGGTACAACTCTGCGCACGCGCATCGTATAACCAGCGAGACCCCGCCCAGTGAATAGGATGGGTTCTCAGAATGCTGAAGTCTCATTTTAAAGTGTTTGGGCTGGGTCAGGGCTCTGCAGATAACTGCTGGTGTCATAGCTTTAAATGGGGGAGCGCGCAGACGTTGTGCCTTCTAATGTGCTGTGATAGGAAATACACACCATCTACCATGACGAGATCCTGCCAAAAAACTTTACCTGAAAATAAAATTTTAGGCCAGATAATGGTATTATAACGGGGCACCTTTGAGACTAGAAGCCCCCAGGTTTTTTTTTCCCCCTCCCTATTTCCTGGTTTCCATTCCAGCTTCCTCATTCTGAGAATGGAAGCTAAGTTGCTGCCCCAAAATTCTAGGCGGGTGGCAGCCAAGATTGAAAAACTGTAATTAGGGGCTGGGGTTGTGGCTCAGCGGTAGAGCACTCGCCTAACGTGAGAGACCCTGGGTTCAATCCTCAGCACCACATAAAAATAAATAAAATAAAGGTATTGTGTCCAACTTGCACGACCAGAAGAAAAACTGAAATTATAACTCTGGCTAGTACTGCCCAACCAAATCCACATACATATTTCTTAGTCTTTGTTCCTATAAATTATAAAGTTTCTGTAGGACTAATGCAAATTAGCTGTCTTCCCAGTTTTGGCCAAATTATAATTAAATTCATTTTTCTTTCCATATGTTCCCTCTTACTTTTGATGTGGGTGGATAACAATTCAGTTACTGGGGAACCCAGCAGCCTTTGGTCTGCGTCCTGGTAACAGTATCTGCCCTTAGCTAGAAAAGAAAAACAAAGTCCCTGATTTTTGAGTAGTACATACTGAAATGTGTATAGATAAAATGATGTATCTAGGATACAACAAAAAGAAGTGGTATATTGGGTAATAAAATTGGCCATGAGTTGGTAATTGTTAACATTTGATGCCAGGCACATGGAGGTCAGTCTGTATATCTTGGGAATTTTCCATACTGAAAGTGTTTTCCTTTTTTTTTGTATGGGAAATTGAATTCAGGAAGACTTGCCCACTGAACCACATCCCCAACCCTATTTTGTATTTTATTTAGAGACAGGGTCTCACTGACTTGTTAGCACCTCACTTTTGCTGAGGGTGGCTTTGAACTCCTGAATCTCCTGTCTCAGCTTCCCAAGCTGCTGGGATTACAGGTATGTGGCACCACACCTGGTGCTTTCCCCATTTTCCCCAGGAGATGGGGGAGAGTACTGGGGATTGAACGCTGGAATACTCTACCACTAAATTACATCCCCCAACTTTCTCTTTTTCTTATGAGGCAGGGTCTTCCTAAATTTACCAGGCAGGCATTGAATTTTGGATCTCCAACCTCAGCCTTGCAAGTAGCTGGAATTACAAGCATGCAGCACCACATCTGGCATAGTAAAAAATTAAAATGGCACAGCGTGTGTTAATTTCAAAAGCCTCATCCTAAGAGAAAGAAGTTAGATGCAAAAGACTCTTCTGGACAAGGCAAAACTTCAGGAAAGCAGATCAATTGTAGCCAGGAATTGGGTTTTGGGAGAGGGATTGGCCACTAGGGGGTGCCACGAACTTTTTGAGGTGAGAAGAATGTTTCTGTTGTGGTTACATGACTGTATACATTTGTCAAAACTCAAAAATTGTAAATCCCACAGTGGCATTTGTGCTTGTAATCCCAGGGGTTTAGGAGGCTGAAGTATGAAGATTGCAAGTTCAAAGCCAGCCTCAGCAACTTAGGGAGACCCTGTCTCAAAAAGTATAAAAGGGCTGGGGATGTATGTGGTTTCTTGGTTAAACAAGCCTGGGTTCAATCCCTGGTATCAAAAAAAGTAAAGCCCTCAAAATTGTATACCAAAGTTGAGTTTTACTGTATGTAAATTATACCTCAATAAACATGATATTTAAAAGCCATAAATTGTAGGGCCGGGGATATAGCTCAGTTGGTAGAGTGCTTGCCTTGCATGCACAAGGCCCTTGGTTCAATCCCCAGCACCACAAATAATTATGTAAGTTGCAAAAGCACTATTTCAAGATTCATAGATCCAAGATATGTAAAGGAAATGTGTTTGCAAGGACCTGTACTTCAGAGGAAGCACCAACCTTGCAATGTTGGACTACAGCCCCAACCTGCCACTTTCCTTGGTTACTCCTAGTTTGTCACTGCCAACCTGACAGCTTTAAAAGACTGTGAAGTCTGACCTTGATATTCCCTTCAAGTCTAGCTAGATTGGACAACTTGTAGGTATAGATTATTATTTTAGCTAATTCCCAAGATATTTTTAAGTTATTACAAGAAGTAGACTTCAGAATTCTTATTCTTTGCTAACCCAAGAATACATTCTCTAACAGGTAGTGACCTCTCCTGCACATATTTTATCTGCTTACCTCATAACACTACTAGTGTCTTCGTGCATGTGTCACATGGGGCTGGGATTTGAATCTAGGTCCTTAAACATAGTGCTTGAATCTAGTGCTAAGCATGTGACTACTATAGTTTTGGGTTTCTGTGAGATTTTGGGGAGTACTAGGGATTGAACCAGGAGTATTCTACCACAGAACAATATCCTCAGCATCACCCCCACCCCCCGCAACTTTTTTTTATAATTTGAGATAGGGTCTCATTAAATTGCTTCAGCTTCCTGAGTCACTGGGATAAAAGGGTATGACATAATGCCTGGCTTGCCTTCTCCCTTTAAGAACAAAAAATACAGATCTTGGATGTGTTTCTGTCTTTAAGAAGGCATGCGACCAAGCCAGACTGAAGTGGGTGACTTAACCAGGTACAGTGGTGCACACCTGTAATCCTAGCAACCCAGGAGGCTGAGGCAGGAGGACCCAAGTTCAAGGCCAATCTCAGCAACTTAGATCCTATCTCAAAATAAAAAGCATTGGAGATGTGGCTCAGTGGTAAAGTTATACCCCTGAATTGTGAGTGACCCAGGAGAGGATGGGACAGAGACAGTTCTAATAACAGGGTGGGAGGAAGCAGTTTCTTATCCAGACTATTCCAGATCACTATCTGGGGTATAAGTGCTGGAAGCCTAGCTTCTAGCTTGACCACCAATTCCATCCATTGACTCTTTTTTTTTTTTTTTTTTAAAGAGAGAGWGAGAGAGGAGAGAGAGAGAGAGAGAGAGAGAGAGAGAGAGAGAGAGAGAGAGAGAATTTTTTTTTAATATTTATTTTTTAGTTCTCGGCAGACACAACATCTTTGTTGGTATATGGTGCTGAGGATCGAACCCGGGCCGCACGCATGCCAGGCGAGCGTGCTACCGCTTGAGCCACATCCCCAGCCCCCATCCATTGACTCTTTAAATGAAATTCTTTTTCTGTTTCACTAGCCAAAAATATTAATAGCTTGAGAAGATAAAAAGGCAGTTGTCAAGCATCTGGCTAGGAGATGTCACCCACCCTTGCTCTTGGCCAGGAATTACTTGAAACAGACATAATCTCAATGTGGTCTATCAATTTCTCCAAAGTCATAAAGGTGAGGAGTGGAAGGAGAGGAAAACAGGACTTGATTAGAGGCCTGACCTCCTGACTTTCTGTCCTCCATTCTGGACCTGCTCACCGCTTAGTCAAGTGCCAACCAGGGTACAGTGCTCCTTCCACTCCTCCCAACTGGTGCTCGGACTGCCAAAGTCCCATTCTCAGGAAACAGTAAGAGGCTGAACCCACACCTTCCTTTGTGGCATCTTTATTTTCCTGTTTATGATGTAAACACAGGTCAGAAAAATCGGCTGCACTGAAACATTTCAGCAGAGTGGAAAAGAGGGAGAGTGGACAAGGAAGGGGCAGGGTGGCAATTCCAGACTGGCTTCCCCCAGGGTGTGTGTGGCCCAAGTCTTCAACCAGAGGTTGCCCTGGACAGGGAGGGGCAGGACCATGCAGCGCAGACTCTGGCAAGGTAGGACAAGAACGACCAGTCACAACAGGAACTGTAGCTGAGTTTATTCAGTTTTGGCATCACGCTGGTGTTTGATGAAGCTGATCAATCCATTGGTGGACGAATCGTGAGAAGTCACCTCGGCGCTACCCTCAAGCTCAGGCTCAATTTTCTTAGCCAACTGTTTTCCCAGCTCCACTCTGCCAGGAAGGGAAGGAAGAAGGGGATAAGGAAGGCTCCGGTGTTGCTACTAAATCTTCAAGCAAACCCATAGACATCCCCCACCCTCCTGAGTAAGCAACTCACCCCCACTGGTCAAAGCTGTTGATGTCCCAGATGATACCCTGAACGAAGATCTTATGCTCATAGAGGGCTGCAGGAGTGGCAGACAGGGCATGTTAGGGATCCCCCATCCTTGTCCAACTGACCCCAAGTTAATACCTTCCTCTACTCACCAATCAAGGCTCCAAGAATGAATGGAGTGAGCTTGGTGAACACAATAGAGTTGGTTGGGCGATTTCCTTCAAAAACCTTCAGAAAACACCAAGAAATATCCCCAGGTTAATCCTGACCCCCAAACTCCTACAGAACGAGGATATCCTGCCTCAGAGGCTGGGACGAACAGGTCTGGAAGGACAGATCCTCCCATTCCATAGGACAACTCAAACACACTATGAACCCCTACCCTGACCCTACGACTTCATGCCTCCAGCTCTGGCATGCTGCTCCCAAACCAACTTCAGGAGCAATGCTGACCTTGTGTGGCAACAGCTTCTCAATGTCCTCTGCACTCTTTCCTGCAGCCTGGAGCTCCTTCCGGGCCTCGTCGGTTGATTTCCCCTTCATCAGCGCCTCAGTCTGGGCTAAGAAGTTGGCTAGGAGGATCTGATAAGAAAGATAGCCAGTTACACTGGAAAAGACTACTGGAGTCTCAGGCCAAGGGGCAAGGCACTTCTCCGTTGAGGTTAGTTCCAACTGAGTGAGTCACCCACTCAGGATTCACTTTTTCACTTCCTCCTTGAAGACAGGAAGGATAGAAGGCACATCCGATG